CTTAAAATAAATATAATACGAATATTTTGTTTTTCCTTCTCTAGGCCCTTGTTAATTCGGATTTGTGCCATGTAAGGGCCCATTTAATGTAAGACCCCATAAAATTTCACCTAAAATACGAGGTTCCGTGGTGGCGAGATAGGCTAATATGTTTGGTGAGTTAAAGGAAAATGTTGGCTGAAAAAAATATTTCTGCGGCCCACTATGCAACCGCAGAATGGCCTCAGAGTGAAGCAGAAACTTGAGCAAAATTTGTGGGCCATTATGCGGTCCATTATGCGGCCGCAGAATTACTTTGCGGGCCGCAGATTGCATCGCAGGATCGACATGAGGAATTCCAGGAGAAGATTCTGCGGTCCGCTTTGCGATCGCAGAATCGATATGCGGACCGCAGAACGGCTGCATACCCAAGCAGCGGTGCCCAATTTCGGAATGCCATTTCACGGACCATTTCGCGTACCGCAGAAGCATTATGCGGTCGCATATACGACGACAGATTTTCTTTTTGGAGCTTCATTTTTTTGGGTTTTATAACCCGATCCCATTTCGTTATATAGACTCTATGGACCATTTCTTAAGTAAGAACCTGACATTTTGAGAGTGAAAAAGTGCTCTAGAGAGGGAGAGAGTTCCTCAACCAATTGTTCCACAATTCTTACTCAAATCTTGGAAGATTAACAAGGAAAACACACTAGGTTTTCATCCTAGAGGTAAGATTCTTCACCATAACCCTCAATTTCAAAATTTAACTAAAAATAGGTAATTAGTAAGGCAATTCTTGGGTATGGGAGTTGTCTCTCTTGCATTCATGTGTTATCTAGGGGTGTAGGAAGATTATTGGGCTAAAAATGGTAGATAACGGGTGAATGATGGAATTCACCATAGTAGGGACTTGAAACCTTAATGCACACCTAGTGTTTGATAAAGCGCTCAAATAAGATGCAACCGTGATCATTTTCCTAATTTTTGGTTTAATTTATTATATTTCTGAAATAGATCGAAGTTGCTAAGATTTCCGGAATATTTTAGAGTTTAAGGAAGCTCAAGTGAGGTATGTTGACTAAATTCTTCCATTAGAATTGAACCCCACAATGTCATTGTAAGTCCCAAGTTACTCATTATGAATCGATTATTTCGAATAAACTTTGTGTCAAAAGACTTTTGTGTTCAATATGTATTCTCAATGCTCTTGTTAAGTTGTACTACTATTTGGTAATGTGTTCAAAGTATTGGTTGCCTAGCTAAATGCTATGGCCTCAAGTTGCGTTTCAAACGATAACTAATGCCAATTGTGTAAGAAATCTCAATGCACTTAAAACTCTTGTTTTCTCACATGTATGCTTAGTGTCTTGAACGTAAATGCCTTGTTGTTGAATATCTATGATGATGGTTGAAAGTGAAAAGGTGAGCACGAAATATAAAATGTGAAATACGGCCAACACGCCACACAAAAAGGGGATATTACAATTGTGACCACTAGTGCCAATGAAATAAAAAGATGTGAAAGAGGTATGAAATGGGATGATTGAAAGAAAATGATGATGTCTCGGATAAGGCGGTCTAGTCGATGGGGTCGCGATCGGACGCCATGCCGCACACATGGTGGTGATTATGTTGGAAATTGAAATTGAAATTGTGATTGCGGTTGATGTCTTATATGAGACGGCCTAGCCGATCGGGGCGTGATCAGATGCCATGCCGCACACATGGTGGTAACTGTGTTAGAAATTGTAATCGAAATTTTAAACGGTGGCATATCGGTACTAAAGGTCTCCCAATTTAAAATATGGAAATCACTTGAAACCTTGTCCTGTTCCTAACTTGACGTTTTGGGTATTGTTTGAGACTCCCGTTGATTTTATGATTGTTCATTCTTGTTTTATCATTCGTTCTATTGAGAGGGTACTTAGTCATTCATACTAGTACTATTCCACATATACTAACGCCCCTTTTGTCGGGGGCGCTGCATCTTAAATGGATGCAGGTGGTTCCATAGTAGGCGGCTTTGATCGTTGATAGCGGTACACCCTCTCCCAACTGACTTGGTGAGCCCCACCTCATTCGGGGTCGTATATCTTTTGTCCTTATGTATTATGTTTTGAGGTACAGCCGGGGCCTTGTTGCCGACACTATCATCGTACTCTTTTGTATCTATTAGAGGCTCCGTAGACATTGTGTGGGTGGTATATCGGTGTTGGGAAAGTCAAACTAGTAATTTTGGTAATTGCATCACACGTTCCACATCAAACTATGAAAGTGTATGTATTTTGAAACTTATAGATGATGAAACTGCTGATAATGAATTGGTGTTGTTGTTCACATGAATCTCCTCACTGTCTAATTAATGAAATAGATCTTCTCTTTATTCATGAGTGAGTTCGGGTAGAAGGTACTGTACAGGCTTGCTCGGCCGGGTTATCTCGGTTGAGCGCCGGTCGCGCTCCCCGAAGTCGGGGCGTGACATTTAAGTGATTCATTGATCTCTAATTAAGGGCGGAAGAATCTTTATCTATTTCATCATGACCAATACATCTCTCAAATGCTAAGCTAGCTGCCTACGATCTGAGCTACATCCCCAGTTTATCTATTAGTTCATTATTTAGATTAAAAATAGCTTATTTATAGAAGAAGAATATTCCTAGCTGTTGAGGAGAAGGTAGGCCCTTAGATAACGAATTCATGACCACTCGTAATGTTTAGGGGATACGTATGCTTCAAACCTCCCGCGAAGCTGTTAGGAAAAAGCAACAGCAACAGTAACTCTCTTTCTTTCATTTCATTCATTCCATTCGGATAAGAGTGAGAGCACCAAACATAACAAAACAATGGCATGTTCTTGCTGGAACTCCATTTTCACTCCTCTCAAACCTACTTATAACACCATTTCTTCTGCTGCTGCTTCGCCTCATCACCATCAGCTTCCTCGGTTGGTACCAAGAGCATCATCTAGTATTAATCGCAGGCAGTTAATCGCTGAGACTGCTGCTGCCATTGCACTACCGCCATTGCTCGGAGCCGGAATCTCACCTATCCCTGCTAAAGCTGACGAGGTGCCTCTCTCTGAATGGGAAAGAGTTTATCTTCCTATTGACCCTGGTGTCGTCCTTCTCGACATTGCCTTCGTTCCCGATGACCCCACTCACGGTTTGTGTTATTCATTCTCTTCCATAACTGCTCTCAATGCTGCATTGAGTTTATCAATTTTTACTTAATTGAATAGAGTGTGTTTGGTATGGAGGAAACAGCAAAATGTTTTAACTTGCAAGCATTCTTTCTTCAAATCTTTAGTTGGGTGTACAAATAGGTTGTTTGGTGTGGGAACGGAGTCCTATATTGGATGTTGCTAAGAAATGAGGCTTGGACAAGCTTAGCCCTACAAATTGGTATCAGAGGAAAGAGTATGTAGATGTCTGACAGTAGCTCTCAAATTAAGAACAATAAGAGATCTTTAAAAATTACTTTAAATTTGACCTAGAATGTGGTGGTTGTAAGTTAAAGAATTGTGCTTAAATTAGCTAATTGATGGTGGGAAGTTCTAATCATTCTTTTTGAAGATAGACGAATACTCAAAAACCTTAGGATCTAATGCATTATGTTTGAGAGTTGTACTAATTTAGTCAAACAGTGATGGCAAATCTCTATGCATCGTTGATAGCCTCATGGCAGTGTGCATTGAGTTTAATGTTTGTACTTAATTTCATTTAAAAGTGATGAGATACCATCATGCACAGCCTCGTGGTGTTGTGCTTTATGTTTAAGAATTTTTTTCTTAGTTTAGTTGAACAATGATGGGATATCGTCCTTTGTGATATTTGTTTACTTCAATGCCGTGTGTTTTGTGCATTGAGTTAAAGATTTGTGTTTATTATTGGAACAATTGTGGAAAATCATGCTTTGGCAGGTTTTCTACTGGGGACCAGGCAAACTATTTTGGAAACAAAGGATGGAGGAACTACTTGGGCATCAAGATCTATAGCTTCTGCCGAAGAGGAAGATTTCAATTATAGGTTTAATTCTATCAGTTTCAAAGGCAAGGAAGGGTGGATTATTGGAAAACCAGCAATCTTGTTGTATACTTCCGATGCTGGTGAAACCTGGCAGCGGATACCCTTGAGTTCTCAACTTCCTGGTGATATGGTAAGCATTATATTATTCAATTCTTCTTCGCACTTGTTCTGAAAATTGAGCTCATCTCTGACAACCCATTATACTTTATGGTAAATTTGATACTTTGGTAATTCAAAACCTTAAAAGAAAACTTTGTTTTGAATGGGGTCACTGTCTACATATGGTTTAGTGTTTCGATGTAAATATTTTGATGTTTGTGGAAAGTTTTTCGATTAAATATGGTTTGGTTGTAGTTTTAAGTTTTCCTCAAAAATTTCTCATACAAATTTGGTTGAGAACTTCCTTGAGGCACAACTTTTTGATCAAACTTTTTGTGAACATTCACGAAATTTCACAAAAAACTATCTAAATATTTTTTGTTTTGCACAAACTCTTTGTCAAAAATAATTCGGAAGAAAATTGTCCAATGACCGTATTTTTCATCCACATTCTTCTATATGAAGCACGAAGAGTAAGTAATATTTGTGAGAGCGATATGAAAATTACTAGCCATTTGGAGTTGTTGACAATCACTGGTTATCTTTCATGTAGTGACTTATATATGTCTAGTCGAGAAATAACTATGTTGCTGGATGTAAACTTAATTTAATGATGCAAGCAGGTTGCAAAAAGTAAAAAGTCAAGAGCGAATGAAAAAATTATCAAATTCTTAGAATTAAGACAACTCTGACTAGCAGGACACAGATGTAGAGTGGTGCCTTATACTGTTGGCATGACTTCCGTCAGAATGTTTGCAGGACCTTATTCTCAGTACACTCTGCTCTGGTGTGAGTGCCCCTATATATCAGTTTAGACTTCAAATGTATCATCTTAGTCTGTGCTGAAGCATTGGCACAGAATAGAACCTAGCAAGTTGTTTCTATGGGTTAAAAATGCCCTTTCTATCTGCCGCTTTGGCATCTGATTGCATCCTAGCTTATCAAGTTTAACGTTTACTCTTAGTCAAATGAATTATAAGACAAAATTAAGGACGGCATGCATTCATCTGAACTATCTGTTCTTTAATTTTATATAAGTTTTTATCTGTCTCCCTCCCTCTCTCTCCGTCCTCCACCCCCTTCCTTTGCGTGTTGCTTAAGAACTCCTTGCTAGCACTTCAACTATGGCAGAATATTGTCACTTTGCTTTATAAGAGTCAACTGCTGTTTGAAACTCTGTTCGGTAAGAGCTCGAGGCGCATTTTGTACTATTTACTTGAAAGACATACTGAAACTGAGGAATGATGCTTTGTTCCGAGGTCATTGTTACCCGAAACATGCTGCGCTGAAAAGGTGCAGGTGTTGATGTAACTTTTCACTTTCTATAGTTTCTTATAAGTGATTCTGAGTAAATTTCCAGAAACTAGAATAGTACCTTTCTTTACTCCTACCTTCAAATCGGAGCATGCCACAGAAGACATTCTTGTTTGCTAACGTAAATACCCTCTACACTGATCTCTTAATCTGTCTGTTTAGTAAAGCATTTCTCGAATTACACAACAAGGTGGCAAAATTGAATTAACAAAGGAAAATACAGAATCTTGTCTAACATTCCTGCTGTCCATCAGACTAGAGAACCATCATTTCTCCTCTCAACTCCCTCCCATGGGGCTGGGAAAATGGAAGTTAAGAAGCAAGAAAGAGATAACCTTTGCTTTATTGTCAGCTCACCGTTAATAATCGTGGTGTTACCAGTGACAACAAGGAAGGGAGGCCTAGATTTTTTGACTTGGAGGCTAGAAAGAAATGCTGGGCCAAAGCCGAGAAGGTTCCAGGTCGAGATCCTGAGAGGTGGAGAAAAGATGTAGCTGGCAACATTGTTGGCAAGCGATTCCACAGCTGCCTAGGTTGCCTTTGCTTTGAGTATGATCACATCGTTCCCTTCTCTAAAGGTGGTGATTCTGTGTCAGAGAACTGTCAAATTCTTCAAACAAGGGTGAATAGATCTAAAGCAGACAAGGTTGCTATTGGCACAACACAGTTGAAAGGATATTCTTGTGACATCAACTTCAGTGATGAAGACCTTGACAAGATTGAGATGGCTGTTTATGGGGATATTAAGCGATCAGACAATCAATGTCGTGTTCCAACAATTGATGGAATAATGGGGAAATACAAGCCTAAGAAGCGCATTGCGAGCTGCAACTCCCAATAAATATAAAGCTTGCTTTTTAGGATCTGAGCACCCTCCACTTCCAACCAAGAGGTTGTGAGTTCGAGTCACCCCAAGAGCAAGGTGGGGAGTTCTTGGAGGGAGGGAGCTGAGGGTCTATCGGAAACAGCCTCTCTACCCAGGGTAGGGGTAAGGTCTGCGCACACACTACCCTCCCCATATCCCACTAGTGGGATTATACTGGGTTGTTGTTGTTGCTTTTTAGGATCTGAATATAAGCCATTAAATAAGATAGAAACTATGATAAGTAGTGATTTTGGTGGAATCTCCGCTTTCTATTTATGTTGATTTGGCATTGAGCTTAAAGAAAGAGAATTTATTAATGTGTATTGGTCTTATGTTGATTGTGCAGCATTCTTGCTCCTCTGTACCTTTTTTTTCTGGTAACTAATTCTTGTTCCTCTATACCTTTGTTTCAATAATGGCACTTTGACTCAACTTATATCTCAAGACACAGAATCCGACTATCTTTCTTCTGTTTGTTCTTGCTACTAATCTTAAGGAAAGAAATCATCTTGATATACAGGTTTATATCAAGGCAACTGGAGAAAAAAGTGCAGAAATGGTAACTGACGAAGGTGCAATATATGTTACATCGAACAAGGGATACAACTGGAAGGCTGCTATACAAGAAACTGTGTCCGCTACCCTTAATAGGTAATCTCTGAGAAGGTGAACTCCATAATTTTGAAATGCTTTATGTAGACATGTTTTTCTGGTTAGATGCTGGAGTGTAAAATCTTGATTTGAGGTCGATGTGCTACTTCTACAATAAAATGAGACAAACTCGACAAACAGATATATTTCAGTTTGAGGTTAATTAATGAAAAGAAAAAGAAAAACCAATAACTTAGTAACTAAAAAGGCGGGTTTTTCACTCTTTGTTTAGGTAATGTGTACTTGGTATAACCTATTATCTGGGTCACTCTTGAATGTTCTCTACTCTCAAGTTTTGCTTTCTACTTTTCTGGAAAATAGCTTAACTACTGATAGTTTACTGGTGGTGCTTTAACTGCTGATACTTCATTAAACTAGATGATGCTAGCCAAATGGTCTTTGACGAGCTAATTCCTATCTTTCGAGAAAAAGTTTTATGCTGTTGGATTTTGCACCTAATCAATTTAGATGCTGGCTTAGGTCATATGTGACGGCAAAAAATAATTAAGACCAGGGTTTATGATTAACTTACTTAAGACCAGGGTTTATGATTAACTAATTTTGGTCTCTTCTTTATAAGGTGAAATGACAGACATCCTTATTAAAATTGCAGAACAGTTTCTAGTGGCATTAGTGGTGCCAGTTACTATACAGGCACTTTCAGTACTGTTAATCGCTCTCCTGATGGACGTTATGTAGCAGTTTCAAGCCGTGGTAACTTCTATTTGACCTGGGAGCCAGGGCAGGTACGGTTTCTTTGACATGTACTGTTTTCATGTTTTTGTCAATTAACAAGCTAATTTGTCTTATGTAGCATCAATTGTGGCGCTGAAATTTCTTGCTTTTTTCTTTTTAAAAAAAAGGTATAATTCAATGTACAAAGAGATCGTATATTTTTATACATATAGTTAGTTGTATGTATACTACATTACAGGCGTACTGGCAACCGCATAACAGAGCTGTGGCTAGAAGAATCCAAAACATGGGCTGGAGGGCTGATGGTGGTCTTTGGCTACTTGTGCGTGGTGGAGGGCTATACCTCAGCAAGGGCACAGGGGTTAGTAAATTAAGATCCTAGCATGAAATAAATCTTTCTTGTTCGGATAGGATGAAGTGTAGCATGTCCTATTTGTGCACTCAATTCCCTTGGTATCTCGGTTGAAGCAATCAATTTCCTTAGAATCTTTTCAGAAGATGCTGTGTCCAATTTCTGTAAAAGGGGACTATTTTTAAGATCTTCCAATTTCTCCTAAGTTTACTTTGATATCAAACCTTGTATATTACCTAAATGTCTTATTTTAACTCTGGTTTTAATTGCTATAAGAAACAAATATCCATCTCCTGCAAGTTAATAAAAGAACCCATTATCTTACTCTAGAATGAATGATCCTTGATTGCAATTTTCTTTTCTATTTGAGCAAAGTACTTGAAGGTATTCTCAGGTCAACATAAATGTAACATGTCAAATCTGTATAGAGGACCTCTATGGGTAGAAGAGCAAGATATTCCATTCCACATCTAGCAAATTGGTCATAGTATCTATTGAGCTAAGTTGCTAGGAGCAGTACTCCTGGACGTATAATATCTTTTTATTAAAATAACTCTACCTATAAAATTAAAAAAAATAAAATAAAAAAACAGTTAACTGCATTTGGGAGACTGGTCAAGAATCCTAGTTAAGCACATGACATGAGGTTGACTGGATGAGGTTTCTGAGGCTAGATATAAAACTACCGCTTTCTATGCAATTAATCGGCAAAAATGGATTGAATGAAGGGCTCAAAGTCGCATAATGGCAGAGAATAGAGTGGTGTCTACTTGGGTTATTTGATAAACCCAAAATTGGTGGACGCACTTATGTCTTGGCAGATCATAAACTTACCGTTTTATTACTTATACAGGTTATGGTCCTTTTACTTGGTTCTACAGTATGAGCTCTTGCTATCTGTAGCTACTATGGTTTCTTTTTCTTCTTTTGCCATATAATGAAGCTCAAAATTGTCCTTGATCTCCAGTTATCAGAGGACTTTGAAGAAGTTTCTGTACAAAGCCGTGGTTTTGGCATTCTTGATGTCGGCTACCGCTCACAGGTATATGCATGGTTGCCTTGAATCAAACATAATAGACTACATGAGTGAGTTTGGGGTGAATTCTTGATGATGAATCATTTATTGTTGCTGAAATTTAAATGCTCCCAAAAGGCACCATTCCCTGAAGATATCTTGAATCACCAGTTTCATTAATTTCTCCTGTTCGTTTGGGGGGAAGGGTTGTGATGCTATTTAGTCATTATAGTTCGCTCACTTACACGAGCTGAATTAGCAATTTAAGGAACACAGTTATGCATGTAATTATCAGGCTGCTAGTTTATTGTTGCAACAGAAATAAGATTCAAAGGATAATTCGCCATTCCAACTGATACTGCGTTAAATGAAAAGGTAGTAATTTCAGAATCATTTTTATAATAAGTAAGGCTCAATTGGGACTTAATTAGTTCCTACATTTTGTACTAGATCATTTTTCTGCTTTTCATGTATTGGGCGACCCAATTAATTTGTTTGGTACTCAGGATGAGGCATGGGCTGCTGGTGGAAGTGGGATTTTATTGAAGACCAAAAATGGCGGCAAGACATGGATTCGTGACAAAGCAGCTGATAATATTGCTGCGAATCTTTATTCGGTGAAGTAAGCTCCAAAGCTCTACAAGCTTTAATCTACTTGAGGATAAAGTTGTGGTCTGCTGTCTGTACATGTGATTATAAAATCTTATGTTCATGATATTGTGAAACAATGTTATGCAGGTTTATCAATGACAACCAGGGATTTGTACTGGGTAATGATGGTGTTTTACTCAAGTATCTTGGATAGATACAATGATAAAACAAGGTACAATGTGGTTCCAGAATACTAGTAATTATAATAAGGTCAAACAAATTATTCATCTGATGGTCTTGTGCAGCAGGTTAGTGAAGGAGCAATTTTGAAAGCAGATACTTGAAAATGAAGAACTGTAATTTGAACTTTATATATTCTTGTTTAATTCTTTGCTGATGATCACCATAACAAAGGGAAGTGTTCATAGGGCTTGGGGGTTTAGATTATCTTCTGAAAATATATTACATGATAACATTTTGAATTGGATTATGATATACTGTACTTGTCAAACAAATTAAACTTTGAGAATTTTGGCTTTACAATTGTTTAGATTACCTCGCGGATAATGCTTTCCTAATTACCTAATTCCAATAGGATGTCGGCTGTAAAATGTTTATGTAACTCTTTTCTGTTTTACAAAGAAGGATATATAACTTAATGAAACAATCTTGCTGGTTAGTTGAATATAAAATTAAACCAGCCTTTCCTCTTGACAAACAATGTACATTTTGATTTTGCTAAAGAAGATTAATGTTTTACAAGATTACAAATATAAGGGTGTGCATGGTTTGAATTGCAGATCCACCAGGTTTATCGGTAAACCAAAAAATGATGTAGACTAGTTCACTTTATCCCAAGTCAGAACATGTAAAGATAGAATGTCCTGATCTTGTTCAAACTCAATCATGTCTTCTTCCTTCAAGCTCACCCAGGCTTCTATTCCATCAACCATTTTTGGTGTCCAAAAGCTTTAGCTTCACTGCTCACCCAAATTGGTTTTCCCCAACCAAAATCTGTCTCATACAAAGACAACTTTCACCAACTTGTAACCATGCAAGAATCTGCCCATCGTCATTGATAAAAAGCTTGCCAACTATCTCTTTGTAACTGTTGATGAGTAAAGAGGAGATATCATCGGTGCTTGCCTTTGTGATGTTTATTGTTGTCTCTCTAATTGCATCCATCACGACCTTTGCCAAGTTGTGGAACTCTGTTCCATTCTTGTTTGCCTGAAAGAGAGCCAACCCACATATCCAGAAATTGCCCAAAGTGCGTTGTGCCTGTGATATTGCTAAAACTGCTCTCTCCCTCAAATTTATTGCTGGGTACAACAAGAAATTTTTCAGGTTGCCATTTTGGCTGGAGAAACACCAACTATTGCCTTCTTAGAGCAGCTATCACCGCCGCTACTCTGTTGGTTGAATGGTGGGCTCCCTTGAAAGTACTCTCTTCACATTTGCTATTGCCTGGACAACAAACACAAACCTTCTCGTGACAATCTTAGCTTGATTATACATGCTAGTGGAAGCTGATTTGCAGATAAGATTCTAGTAGGAAAGAGCGTAGCCAAATAACCAAAGCTAGTACTTGAGAAAGACATTTCTTCAAGTCCTGATGTTATACATACAAAAGCAAGCCCATTATTTATGAACTTTACCGATGTAGAAGTGTCACGACCCCAAATTCTCACATTAGGATATCGTGATTGCACCTAATCTCTAAGACTATGTAAGCCTAATAATTATTAAGAATTTAGCAGAATTAACG